GGTTCCCTCAAATAGTCCTTCCGGCTTGAGGTTATCCTGAGGTCTTTTAACATCTGCCCTGTCACCTCTAATAGGTTGGTAATCATCCCTTCCAAGTTTTGGTAATTCTATTTTCTCAAAACTACCTTCTAGTTTTAGGTTATCTTGTGGTTTCCTTATCGGAGATCGTTCGACAGGCCGGTATTTTTGTCTCTGAGGCCTATCAAAATTCCCTTCAAGTTTCAGGTTGTCTGGGTGTATCACAACGTCAGCTCGACTGCCTGGTTCGTACGTCTGATATCGTGGCTTTTCAAAATCACCTTCAGGCATTAAGTTGTCCTTTGGTTTCCTGATCGGTGCTCGATCACCCTTTGTTGCTTGGAAGTCGTCTCTTGAGCTTGGAGATCCTTGAAAAGCTCCTTCGCTTCGTAGGTTGTCCTTGGGCCTTTTTACGTCCACTCTGTCGCGCATCATTGGTTTGTAGTCGTCTTTTGATCTTGTCGACCCTTCGAATTGACCCTCAGTTTTTAAATTGTCTTTCGGTCTACTTGGAATTGGTCTGTCGCCGACCATCGGTTTAAAATCATCTCGAGAACGAGGCTTCCCTTCAAAATTGCCCTCTGCTTTTAAGTTATCTTTTGGTTTCTTCACGGGCGCTTTCTCACCCTTCACCACCTTGAAATCTTCTTTTGATTTTGGCGTTCCTTGAAAAGAGCCCTCAATTCTGAGGTTGTCCGTATAACGCTTTTGCTTCTGTCTTATGTCTTGATCATGGAACGTTCGGTAGACTTCCTGTGAGGTAGTGATGCTGTTTTCATAATATCCCTCATCTACGCGCAAGTTACCTTGGTGAATGACTTGTGGAATTTGCTCTCGCGATTGTGGTTTCTTGTACTCTTCTGTATTAGTTGTCTCAAAGAACATTTCTCCGTCAAGTTTTGTCCAAGTTCGACGGCGTTCTGCTTTCTCTCGCCTTCCTGTCTTTTCGGTAAATTCTGATTTAGAGGAGGATTCGAATGTCATGATACCTTCGGCAGTCAAGTTATCAACATGCTTCTTCACTTCAGTCTTTGAAGTTTGTTGGCGCGCCTGGTACGCCTCTTTGGAGCTGGTGATTGCATGAAAGTCACCTCCCACAGATACCAAATTGTCTCGATGTCGACGAGGCTGCTCCGGTCTGACAGCCCATCGTTCAGGGTAGTCTTCGCGATTCCTTGTGAAGTTGACAAACTCGCCTTCTGGGACATGAAGATTATCTTGATGTCGTTGAATGATCACTTTTTCTGGTGTCAGAGCTTTGAAATCTTCTTTCTGACGGGAGGTCCCCTAAACATTAAAAGATTCATTTTGAAATTTAGTTCACTTAATGCTGAAGAAGGAACATTAAGCTGTTCAATTTTCTAATAATCTGAGCACAGTATTTTTAAAACATTCAATATGTCAAGTATCAGTTCAAGAATATCCAAACTCTCGAATTTCTCAACTGTGGTGATTTCCGGATTGGCTAGCATGCATTACAAATGTAAAGCTATAATATGACTCTAACTTACATCTCTAACTTAATGCAACCTTTCAATACGTCTTATCTCGACTCAGCACTGATGTATGGTTTAATTTATTTTGACTTTCAGTCATACTATGACATGACGCCTGAGAGCCGGAATAGCAAAGCCGTCGAACGGCAAGAGTACAGTGCATTCAAAATAAATAGAAACAACGCCGCATGCTGTCTGGCTACTTATTCGGTCTTACCCGTCGTGCTTTCCTCTAGCTCTAGTCAGTTACTGGAAAGGTAACATGAAAAGTTTTGTGCCTACATCATGAGTTATCTTGTTCCATTTAACCATTGGTGCACTCTGCCTATCAGAGACTATCTACTGTTGAAACATTCATACGAAAGAGCTCTTATTCGAATTGCGGAGGAAAAATTCAACCGCAAACACCTTGATTCAACCGTGCCTCGAATCTTTCATGTTCAGACTTACTACAAATTGGCGGACAACGGAGTGTGCGTTTGATAAAGCATGACACCGAAAAAAAAGGTTCGCATTTGAGAAGCTCGAAGACATTCGGTCGCGGTTAGACTCGCCATCGAAAGTCTCTACGGTGATTATCACATGAGACAAGTGTGTCTGTAGGTTGTTCTAAATTAATAAAGTTTCATCCATAGAGTCAGATTGGTGCATGAGGTTAAACCTACTGCTGTTCCACAAAGGATTATGGTGAAAAACGTTCACAATGGACTCGTAGATCCTCAGTTGTTAATCATACCCGACGAAGCATCTTTTAATTTAAGCGGTTATGCACGTGAATTCTCAGAACGCACGAATTTGGAGTGACGAAAATCCCCACACAGTTTACCGCATTGCGCTACATGACGTGAAGTTTGGAATGTGGTATGCTGAAGGACTAGGCTAGTCAACGGTCCAGTATCTTACCACAAAACCATGAACACGGAACAATACGTTAGGGATATATTCGAACCATTTTCCGACTGATGATGAAAGACAGTATGGCTACTTTTAACAAGATAACATTAGTGCACATACTGCACGAAATTCGACGAGTGCACTACAGAAGGTGTTCGATGGCAGCACCATTAGTACATTACTATGGCCTCCAAGATCGCCAGATCTTAATACTTTCGACTTTTGTTTGTGAGGAATCTTAAATGGAATAGTGTACAGGAACACACCTCGCACTGCTGAAGCTCTCCAAAACTATATAAAGAATGTGACGGCTTTGTTTTAGGCTGACGATCTTAAGAGTGTCAGGGATTCCTTCCAAGATGCTAGACGGGTTTAAGGGCAGTCGGCAACCGCTTTGAGCTTTTTCTGTGACATCTGGTGCGTTTACTTGCCATTTCGCCTTTCACTTTCTTCTGCTACTTGAACAACTTGTATCAAATGAGGACGAGTGTTTTAGTAGTGGTTCTGAACACAACGTATCTCTTCCGGAACGGACTGACTAGAGCTAGAGGAAAGTACGAGGAGCTAAGGCCAATTAAGGAACCTACCTGCCTGCGGCGTTACGTTTCCTCTTATTTCTCTTGGATTATTTAAAGACTCGGCGAGTGGCTCATACTGTAGAAAGACGAATGGAAAGATGAATTTTTGAGCATGCCTTATTTCTATTTCAGCCTGAGGCCTAAAACTCAGAATAGTGCTGTTAAAGAAGTGACGCAGCGATATCTATTGCTAGGCAACACATTTCCATGTCAAACAATGAGCTCAAAGCAGCAGAGGAATGTTGGGGCGCGGTGTTTTCTGTAGAGTCCGCGCGTGAATAGTTTTGGAATGAGCAAAAACGTCATCTTAAGTTCGATACGTAAAGGAAAGAAAGGGCCAGTTAGTGAGTGAGCGCCCTCTCGAGTCACCCCCAGTTGAGGGGGAGTCACCAGTTAAAGTTAGACCCCTACTCTCGTCGAAGAGGAGGCCACATTTCAAGGCGCACAGTCTTGGAAAGAACAAAAATATGGTCATTGGTCTCGACGGGGTCCGAAACCAAGAACGACTGTGCTGGCGAGGTCACAACCAATTTACTGCTGTGCTATGCTTCCAAACATAAATTGTGAAACGAACAAAATTGAAATATACTGCTGCTTCCGAACATATATATGGTCTTGGAACGAACACAAATTTGATCATGAGTACCGACGGGCCCCGAATCCCAGAACTATGTCGCACAGTGCCAACAGAAATTTTCATAATTCTACAATTGCGCTGGCGAGGGCAGAAAAATTTGTTCTTCTGCTCTGTGAGGTACAGTAAGGACTCGGTCGTGAGCCAAAAAAGATGTGCGTCATAGGTCACGTGGGGTCCGTGACGAGGGATTAATGCTGTCGAGGACCAGCAGAAATTTACTGTTATGCTACGCTATGCAGCGGGGAATCATGAGACTGAAAATATGGGTCATGGGTCTCGCGGGGCCTGAAACCAGGAATGACTGTGCTGGCGATGGTCATCTGTAATTTAGCAGATAGACAGAGAATGGCCTCGTACTACTCCCAGAATCGTGAGACAAAATATGGTCATGGGTCCCGCGGGACACGGTAACAAAAATGACTGTGCTGGCGAAGGCCAACAGCAGACCAGACCAGAGCAGAACGGTATAGCAGGAGTTATGAATTAGGAGTCACATCCTTCTCTCGTCGAATGGGAGAAGGCCTCATTACAAAAGTCTTGAAAGGAATAAAGATTTGGTCATGAGTCCCGAAGGAACCGGATACCAAGAATAACTGTGCTGGCAAGACACAGAAACAAATTTCTGAACTGCATGGCAGGAGAAACATTAGTGATCAGACCTCTCCTGTCGTCGAAAAGGCGGCTCAATTTGAAAGCACGTAAATGGTATTTGATAGATAGAAAATATCGTCATGGGTCCCGACGAGGCCCGAAATAAAAAATGACTGTATTGGCGAGGCCCAGCAGAAAATAAGGGCATATAAAATTTCTTGGAAAGTACAAAAGATGGCAGTGGGTTCCATCGGGGTCCAAAATGAAGAATGACTGTTCCGGCGAAGGGTAGCAGCAAATTACTGCTCTGCTGAGGACAGTCAGTCATGAGTCTGGAGTATGCATTCCCCACTGTGGTTAGGCGTGAGCAGAGAACCACAGGAATCTCACTGTTAGAAGCCGCAGCCAAGCAGCGACTAGTGAAGACAGTGAACTGTGCGCTATAAGGATTTGTAGAGAGTGTAGTTTAATAAAAGTGTTATAATTATTCGTAATTACGAGTCATAAGCGGTCAATAATTTCAGTAATTAATCCAATCCCAGGTTTCGGTCACTATCACGTGATATTTGTATCCATTAAAGTTCAACTAATTTGAAACTTAAAATTCCTATACTAATCTGATTTTATCTCGCATTTGACTCTTATCTACTGTTTTCTGGCTCACTCTCTTGCTTATAGCAACTTACACAAAGCTTCATGAGATGCTCTTTCTTCTCTGAAAGTGCTCAATATCTTATGGGTACACATAGCTGAAATTATATCGAGAGATCGCGTTCCACACAATATTATTTGCTGTTTCATAGAATTTTAAACGTCTGGTACAATAAGAATATATTACCTGGAACTGTCCTCCACCCACAATGAGGTTGTCACTGCGCCGACGAACTTTCTCAGTCCTCTGTACAACTTCAAACTCTCGGAACTCGCTCCGACTCGTCGTCTCTGCAAATATTTCTCCTTCCAGTTTGGTCCACGTGTTGCGCCGAATAAGAGGCGGTCGTTCACCCCGTTCACCGGTGAACTCGATAACTGTCTTTCGTTGGCCAGTGAATTCTCCTCCAGGTTTTAAATGGTCATCTGGAATTTTTATATCAGCTCTGTCCCCTCGAACGACGGTGAATTCATTCTTTCGTTCGCCAGTGAAATCCCCTTCTAGTTTTAAATTGTCTTCTGGCTTCTTTATGGGCGAACGCTCGCCTTTAGTTGCTGTGAATTCGTCCCTTTTCTGGCCTGTGAATTCCCCTTCTTGTCTAAGATTGTCTTTCGGCTTCTTAACATCTGCTCGATCCCCTCGTGTAGGTTTGTAGTCATCCCTTGATTTCGGACTACCTTGAAATTCTCCTTCCGATCGCAAATTATCTTTCGGTTTCTTAACACCAGCTCTTTCATGTTTCAAAGGTTTGAAATCTTCCCTCGATTTAGGAGTTCCTTCGAAATTACCTTCAGAGCGGAGATTGTCTTTAGGTTTCTTAACAGCAGCTCGATCACCTTTAGTAGGCTGGTAATCGTCCTTGGATCTTGACCTTCCTTCGAAGTTACCCTCAGACCGTAAGTTGTCTATGGGTTTCTTAACCTCTGCTCTTTCGCCTCTTGTCGGCTGATAATCATCCCTAGATTTAGGACTTCCTTCCAAATTTCCCTCGGTTTTCAAATTATCCTTTGGTATTTTCACTGCTGCCCTTTCGCCTGGGCCAAAATATGTTGGCTGAGGCCTGTCGAAGTCGCCATCTAGTTTCAAGTTGTCCGGATGCTTGACAATATCTGCTCTTTCTCCGGGACTATATTTAGCATGATGTGGTCTTTCAAATTCTCCCTCCGGCTTCAAGCTGTCCTTTGGTTTTTTCATTGGCAACCTTTCACCTCGCACAACAGGGAAGTCATCTTTCTTTCTGCCTGTAAACTCCCCTTGTTGCTTCAGATTATCCTCTGGTTTCCTGACAGGTGCTCGTTCACCTTTCACTGCTGTGAACTCATCACGTCTCTCACCAACAAACTCCCCCTCTAATCTGAGGTTATCTTCATGCTTCTTCATCTCTGCACGCTCTCCTTTTGTGACGCTGTATTCATCTCGTCTTTCTCTCGTGAACTCTCCCTCCAGTTTCAAGTGATCCTCATGTCTCTTGACTTCTGCCCTTTCTCCTCTTGTGGCCGAGAATTCATCTCTTCTCTGGCCTGTAAACTGACCCTCTAGTTTCAAATTGTCAGAACGCCTTGTTATATCTGCTCTATCCCCTCGTACTTCTCTGTACTCTTCCTCATTGTGACTCCGACCCATGAACTTTCCTTCTAAGCGGAGATGGTCTTCATGACGACGAACTTCTGCCCTCTCAGCACGTACCTCTTGATATGCTTCTCGAAGGTGACTCTGACCAGTAAAGTCACCTTCCAGTTTCAGGTGATCTTCATGTCTAACCACAGGAGCCCTCTCTCCTGTCACGGGTTTGTAATCGTCTCTAGTGTGAGGATAACCCTGAAACTCTCCTTGTAACTGAAGATGATCTTCATGTCTAACCACAGGAGCCCTCTCTCCTGTCACGGGTTTGTAATCGTCTCTAGTGTGAGGATAACCCTGAAACTCTCCTTGTAACTGAAGATGATCTTCATGGCGGCAAATTTCTGCCCTTTCACCACGAACCACCTGGAATTCTTCTCGAAGGTGGCTCTGACCGGAGAACTCTCCTTCCATTTTCAGGTGATCTTCGTGTCGTACAACTTGGGGTCGCTCTCCTCTAACTGGCTTAAAATCATCTCTCGTGTGGGAGTGGCCCTGAAATTCTCCTTCCAAGTGAAGATGGTCCTCATACTTGTACCTGGACATAAAAGACAGCGTTACTACACAGATTCGTATACAGATGTTATACAGACGCGCGCTCAATCGCAAACAAACAGACCACCAGCCTCTGCTCGTCTGAATAAGCATAACAAAACTTCCTTCATCATGTACTCTTGTAACATGGTGGTCTTCCCTAAAGTTTACATCATGGCAGGCCAGCATTTACCAATTGCGAACTTTTGTCCGAGTGCTTGTTTTGGAGAGAATATAGTTTTATAAAGATAAATTTACATGTACTGAAGGTATATAGGTGTCATGGAGTAACATTACGCCTATTATTAACTATACCAGTTGTAAGTAAGTATATGACATACATCTCCAACTGTTATATCCGGGAAAGCGTTCCTTGGTGCGAAATGTGTATGAAGCCAGCCATTTTCTCTCTACCATGGAGTTGTTATATGGGTTCATTTCAGGTGATATTGAAATCTTTCCGCCTTACCTGGCCTGTCTCTCTGCGTGTTTCTCGTCATAGTCGGCGCGGTAGGCGGATACGGTGGCCAGTTGTCCGTCGGGCAGCTCCAGGGCGGTGTGAAGACGATACAGTTTCGGTCGCTGTACATCCTCGGCAGAGTATGCATGGTACGCAGCGTGCGATTGTGACGTGATGCCACTTAGTCCGGCATCCGGCTGCAGGTCGAATGGAGGACTTTCTGGCTCAGGACGGTGGGGACATCGATGCCGACTGCGAAGGTAGAACGTACGCAGTTACTAATAATGAACTCCGTGAAACAGAGTAATGCTTGGGAAGCTAATGATCACTAAGCTGACCAAGATATGTCCAACCTATTACGGAAACCGAGGTTCATTATCATGTTCACACGGGAAAACCTCTATACAGTTAGTAGGCCTACCTTAAGATTGCCCACGTCCGCCCACTTCCACATCTGCAATATTCACTAACCATTTCATCAATTGCCACTGTGTGATCTGAGCAGTTCTGAGCGTTCTTAAATAAGCCGTAAATACGTGCACATAAACCGAGCGATCAGTTAGCATAATAAAACGAAAACAAAACTAAAGTTGGCCCAGTGCTTGAGCAACAGTCCATAAACTTTACCAGGAAAGGTGAAGGTTGACTTCACGCCTTTTATAGACCTGGAAATCAGATGTAAATGAGTCATCTTCACGCTTTGGCAGTTTTACTCCAGTGGAAATAGCTCCTGGAAGTCACTGGATGGGATAATACAGTGTGTCCACAAAGTCCCGTCAGCGTTTTGAAAAATTGTGGCGCGCAAACAAATTGAGCTAGCCACACGCGGTTTGCTGCAGATCATAGTGAAACTCTGAAAGTCTTTCTACTGACCTCAATAGACCTCGATGTTTGCTCCCTTGGTAACAAGGAGAACGTCCAGACGATATTCGAGCTCTTGCCATGTTCTGTGGAGCATGTCCGCTGGAATAGCGAGATCGCACTCCTGATACGGGTCTTCAGGTCATGAAGTCCGTTAACTGGTGTTCGGAACACACTGCTCTTGACATAACCCCACAGGAAAACATCCGCGTTCCTAGACATGACATTTCCAGGAAGATGAATCGGCAGAGATGGTCCAATGCCTTGGCCTCCACGTTCACCAGATATAACTATTTTTTCCTGTGGGGTTATGTCAAACTCTTTTCAGAGGACGAAGCTTCACGCTCTCTTGATCTCAGGGCGAAACTTCAGGTGGCCATACTCCGGTTTAGTGACGATCTAACTTTTATCTCAAACTACTCGCACGAACTTGGTTTGTATTTCGTAGCGGAGGAAATGTGCAAGAGGAAGGTGACAAGACGTTCTTAGGCTGTTTCTAACTGCGTTTAACACGTACAGTATTAAGATTAGCGTCTACCCAAATGCGATGACGTACAGTCATAAATATCGTGTCATGTTATGCATATTTGGTACAGACTCTGCTTAAAATCACAGTGCGTTTTGACACCTCATCATCATCAGTAATCTGTCAGACGACAGGTCCACAGTCTCTTCCAAAACAGTTTCTCCACTTAATGCAATCTTCTGTTTTTGGAAAGAGACTATCCAGGAAAAGTGATAATGTGGTAGTTTCTCCATTTGCTTTCCACATCACAGTGCAACAGCCGTTCAAACCACTCTGGTCACGCCTGTTGCTATACGAACTTGAACCATCTCGAGCATCATTTGCTCTGTGCTTCAAGTCGCTGCTGATGACGCTACTTCCGACATCACTTTTTGGTGTCTCTCTTCGTCTGATGCCTACCCTTTGACCTGTCCAGCAAGGGAGGCGCTGCCAGTAGCTACGCTACCGCTGGTATAGCTCTCTCAGAGCTCTCAGGACTCTCAGAGTCCTTGGCATACTCAAACACCCTCACCACGATAAGGTGGAGACACCAAGAAGGGGGGTTTGACACCTATATGCGAGAAATTACATTGAGGTACCAAGAGTTTATTCCTGTTGCATAATTTATATGTTTGTAGTTTATTTATAGAAAGGACTCAAAAACTAAGGTTATATACTGCGGGATGATTAATCATGTGGTATAATGAATTGGAACGGACGTGGACGGAAGTGGTAGTGGACTAATTAAAGTAAGTTTTACTATCCCAGAGTCTAGCTGGAGGGAATAAGTCTCGGTACAGTCGATGTTCCCGTCGAGATTCGAGCTGGGCACCTCGAAAATACAAGTCATGAGCGTTAGAGTTTGAGCAGTGTCTCTCGGTGCTTCGTTCATAATCTATTCCCATTTTTACACGCATGTACTGGTTTGGAGGAACTAAAGAAAACCCCGAAAAGTACACTCAGTCAGGACTGCCGGGCTTCTGGAAGAGAGGGTCTCTCAAGCTGAACTCTAGAGCTACAGCATTCTCCTCGTTCAACATGTTCACGAAACTATGAACTCCAATGTGGAGTACACTGTTCTACTCTCGGTGTCAAAGCAGAAGCAAATAGAAGTGCTGAAATGCAGAAGCTAGAACAAAACTGGATTGCTTATCGACTTTCTCTGCGCTTTTAGCTCACAAGGCCTATTAATATCGCTATAACCAAGCTTACAAGCAGGCGAAGGCAGATTCGTGGACAAGCTGGTATCGAACATCGCGGTCGTGTGGTTACCATTCCTGCATATTCGGGCTGTCTGACTTAAATTCTCTGCGCCGATGTCAGTTATTTTGAGTTCTTCGTGGTTTTACTCAGTCCCTCTAAGGAAATGCCGCAAGTGTACGGCTTCATTTTACATACTTTTCAGTTCATTATTCGCTGTCTTCCAATCATTCAACGCTACATAGTAAGAGTTATTTCTAGCGTCGCGAAATAAACTACAATGTGTAACCGTTCATTGCATTTGACCAGAGTATTTCATAATAAGTAAGAGTTTATTAAGTTAAGGTCACTTAATTTTAAACAAAGACCCAGCCGGTAGCCACCTTCTTACACTCGGAAGTGACATAATTCAAGTTTGGCTATGTGGACAGGATGTAACAACATCTGGTACATTTCCTGGAATTCTGGTAGTTTCAGTGGAGTTAATAGACCTTTGAAAATTCCAGAGCTGACAGCTTGGAAAGGCGATGACTTAGAAGAAGAAATGCCTGAGCCCCACCCCATGATCCTCATACATCAAGTCGCTGTTAACTTTAGCGTTAGGTCAGTAACTGCCAGAATCACACAGAAAAACAATGTGACTGGAAAATCACTAGTTCAGGGAAGCTTCTAGTCTTCAAAATGAGCTAACAGTACATGTTGGGAGGAGTGGACTTCTTTGGATGCTGTGGATCGGTGAACCTCAGAATTTCAGAGAGTCCATTCTCCATCAGGAGTCTTCAGCCAACATTCGGCCAATTCAGATGCAAAAACTACGTCACTTCGATATAGTACACTTTCTGGTGTCATAAGCCTTATTTTTTCCCCCTTGGCACTACAGCCCCAGTGGGCCTAGGCCTACCTCCATGAACTTCTCCGTTCACTTCGGTTTACTAGATCTTACACATTCGGTAGGACTTCTTGGGCGAGTGATCAGCTCGTCGCAAGGCTTCTACCTGTACACAAACACAGAAAAACGCACACAAACATCCATGCCCTGGGTGGGATTCGAACCCACGATCTCGGCTTCCGAGCGAGCGAAGACAGTGCATGCTTTAGACCGCTCGGCTACCGTGACCGGCGTCATAAGTCTTATAAAGTTCAAATTCACATAAGCGTAAGAAAAGTGTAGTTTCCGTTAAGTATAGTATTCAGTGTTATAAAATAATTAATAAATTACTACTACAAGTGCAAAAGTCTTGAAGCGGTGTACATGACTGTAACGTAAGAGACCTCCTGCCCTGCCCCAGCCAGGCCCGTATGTCCCTAGATAAGAACTCGTCTCTACCATTGCTGAGTAGGACCCAGCTACTCCCAACTTTTCCTTACTTGCGAGACACCTTATTAATCATAGGTGTAAAGAACCCTTGCCTACTAGCACCCGCAACCACAATTCTCCTTCCTTCCCACGTAACTTCTCGACATCCATGAGACAGGAAAGCAGTGCAGTTTAACTTGAGTGAAGGCGTCCAGCAACACGGCGAAGGTGAGCAGCATAGGGAAAGTAGTGACAGTCATAGAACTAACAGAACAGTGAAGGCGCCCAAAGACGGTTACAAGTGACGTCTAAAATTAGGGCAGAAGGACAGTCATGTAGCTCACACTGGTGATATAGAAAGGTTAAAAGTTGTCCCTGTCCTTAATTAATTTAACACCATGCTATGAAGACGTATGGGGGAGTGAAGATACAGCTCCATCATTCTGGACCTCGGAATTAAGTGGAGGTGAATGGTCAACATCATAACCCGGCAGCTTTACCCTCGGGGAAACAGCCCTCAGTATCCATTAGATAGGAGGCTGGGCGGGCCCAGGGCCTCTCTGGACATTATGGAATAGATGAACATCTCTTGACCATCGCGGGAATCAAACCGCGTCCGTCCAGCCCGTAGACCGTCGCTGTACATATCGTAAATGCATACATAATTTGTGTTGCAAGGCTTGAGGAGAGAGGACGAGAGGGGAGACATTGGAGTCGATGGGAAAATAACATTAAGATGTGTCTACAGAAATCTTCTTCTTCATCAATTTCGTTATCTTTTTTACACAGAGGTAAGACCCATTGGACGAGTGATCAGCCCGTCTGTAAGGCCGATACCTACATAGGACAACACAAACACACATAGAGATCCATGCCTTGAGTGGGATTCGATCCCACGATCCCAACATTCGAGCGAGCGAAGACAGTTCATTCGTCGGACCGCGAGGCCACTGTGATTGGCTGGTCACGTGAGTACCTATCAGTAACTCAAAGAAGGTCGTTCGGTATGACACTAGTTGAGTGCAGCAGAGAAGAACTGTGGCATTGACCTGGAAGGAGAGATCGCGACCTTGCGTAAGACGATGGAGGGCATTAAGAAAACATGTTCACGTGTTCAGTTTTACGGATTCGAGTGCTTCGCATTTTGTAACTGTCACAAACAGAAACCATTTGTTTACTTCTGTTCAGACTTATGTATACGAGTGACTATGTGCTTACGGGATAGTTAAACTGTTACAGTGCGCGGATACGATGGCTCAATTTTTGTGTGTCTACGTCAACTCCATCTGATCCTGCCCCTTACCGAACAGGCTGGTGTATCGGTAACGCTAACATGTTCGGAATCGATTTGTGGCAGGGGCTAAAAATGTTTCTCAGCTGCACAGCAGC